TGAGAGAGAGTGTGTGTATGTGTGTGTGTGTGCGTGTGAGAGTGAGAGTGAGAGAGAGTGTGTGTGTGTGAGAGTGAGAGAGTGTGTGTGTGTGTGAGAGAGAGAGAGAGAGAGAGTGTGTGTGAGAGTGAGAGAGAGTGTGTGTGTGTGAGAGAGAGAGAGAGAGAGAGTGTGTGTGAGAGTGAGAGAGAGTGTGTGTGTGTGAGAGAGAGAGAGAGAGAGAGTGTGTGTGAGAGTGAGAGAGAGTGTGTGTGTGTGAGAGAGAGAGAGAGAGAGAGTGTGTGTGAGAGTGAGAGAGAGTGTGTGTGTGTGAGAGAGAGAGAGAGAGAGAGTGTGTGTGAGAGTGAGAGAGAGTGTGTGTGTGTGAGAGAGAGAGTGTGTGTGTGTAAACATACTTGGCAATAAAGCTCTTTCTGACTTCTGATTTCAGACCTTTTTAAGGCCTTAATTTGTGGAAGGGCAAATTAAGTACTTGTAATTAGATTCCATTACATTTTAAAATACTCGTAATCAGACTACAGTTTACAGACTACTACTTTTTCATTGATTACATGATTACATATTCACACAAACACTTATATACTCTCAGAAAGTCTTCCAGTTTTGTGGACATTCACACAGAGACCAGTCACTAGGCAGGTGGCTACACGGCATTTGACCACTGGATTTACAAAAATCAGCTCAGTTTTAAGAAGCGTTTTCTCAACTACTGATGAACACTAATGAATTTCTTTTTTAATGATCACTCAGTAGGTTATTTAACCATGTATTATCGTCTTTAGTCTTTCAAACACACTAAAATGCACAAATTCACATTATTTACATGTAATGCAGGCATTCCCAAACTTTTTTTGGTCAGCTGAATCTCTTTCACCTAATATATTTACTTGAAGTAACACTGAGATTTTAAGGTAATAAGTTAATAATTAAGTAACACATTTGCATGTTCACGGTTCTCTGGTTAGTGATCACATGACATGCAGGTAAACAAATATTTGATCTTTTTTAGTAAATGCTTTATTTTAATTGTTATTTTAAAATTCATTTGACATTTTTATGATGTGATAAATTATTAGCTTTTCATTAAACTCAAGAACCCCCCCCCAGTTTCTTCACAAAGCTCAGTTTGGGAAACTTTGACATAATGTAATGTTCATTTTGTTAACAACAACGAATGGAATAGATTTTCTTTGTATTTTTATGTCAATATGGTAGAAGATGATCCTATTTAAATCAATGTGATAAACGAGTTAGGGCAAAAGTAATCTAAAAGTAGTCTGATTATATTACCTGAAATGTGTAATAGATTATGCTACGACCTACAATTTTTGTCATGTAATTTGGAATCAGTAACGGACTACAATTTTCAAGTAATCTACCCAACTCTGTTTGTTTGTTTGTTGCGTGCAATAGTGAACTGCAGTGTGCATTTGGAGGAACCTTTGATGCTTGTACATCAATGATCGTAAAATAAAACCGATTGGATCAGAAGCCATCGTTGTGCTGTCTCCCCTCTTCCCTCTCCCCTTTGCAGTTCACCACACCCACGTTTCGTTACTATTAAAATCTGTCGTTCAGCTCTTCAAAGATCATATTCTTTTATGTCCTCCCTGACAATCACGATAAATGTATTTACTGCCAAGAATAAAATAGGATGAGAACTGACCAGAAGAACAAAACTTTTGCCGCTAAATTGATCTCCATTATCAGTTTCATGACCCTTTAAGTAGTTGCAACCTAAAGTTCAGATGTTCTCAACATTAGATTCATTATATGCATGTATGATCAATCCTTTTAAAGCCAACATTACAATCCATAAAGTGATGCATTTCAGAGTAAAATTAATAGGGTGCTTGATTTCATCCAAACTATTTGGATTTTGTAAAGTTGTCTATAATATGATATATGATATAATATAATATAAGTGACCCTGGACCACAAAACCAGTCTTAAGTCTCTGGGGTATATTTGTAGCAATAGCCAAAAAAACATTGTATGGGTCAAAATTATTGATTTTTCTTTTATGCCAAAAATCATTAGGATATTAAGTAAATATCATGTTCCATGAAGATATTTTGTAAATTTCCTACCGTAAATATATCAAAACTTAATTTTTGATTAGTAATATGCATTGCTAAGAACTTCATTTGGACAACTTTAAAGGTGTTTTCTTAGTATTTAGATTTTTTTGCACCCTCAGATTCCAGATTTTCAAATAGTTGTATCTCGGCCAAATATTGTCCTATCTTAATAAACCATACATCAATGAAAAGCTTATTTATTCAGAGATGTATAAATCTCAATTTCAAAAAATTGACACTTAAGACTGGGTTTGTGGTGCAGGGTCACATATAATATAATATAATATAATAATATAATATAATATAATATAATTAAAAATAATAAATAAATTATATTATTTAACATACTATATTTAACATAATATAATAAACTATATTAAATCTCACACACACACACACACACACACACACACCTTAATCCTGCAAAAGCAGCTCTACACACTACAGCGTGCTGCTGAAATCAGGTCTGGTTTTACCTGGATGACTGCGATATGCTCCCGGTGAGTTGTCAAGAATGACTATACTTGATAAGTCGTCATGTACAACGGACAGGTCTTTAATATAACTACCTGAATCCAGCGTACAGTGCTGCACAAGATAAAGACAACACAAAAAGAAGAGAAAATATTATAGACATACTGTATATGCTTTCAGATTTTCGGCCTTTTCCATACTGCTCATGGCAAATGTTTATGCAAAATTAAACGTCAAGAGTTTCAGTGGTTACCTGTCTGTAGTATCTTCTTTTTAGGAATCCCTTGTTGTTATCCAGCTTATCAGCTACTGCAGAACCATAGATCTCCATACTAGCAGTGAACACTACTAACTCATACCACTGACTGACCACCTCCAGGAAGAAGTCCACATGCGGCCTTTTATGTACAAAGAATCTGACCGGGTGTTTGTCTATTACCACCTGAAAAACAACAACAGCTTATATGAGAAAAATGAAATGAGACATTTGGAGGGTTTTTTTTAACTACGGATGAAACAGTCATAAATGGTTAATGGATAGCTAATAATAATAATGCATTATTATTATTATTATGGTAACACTTTACAATAAGGTTACATTTGTTAATATTAGTTAACTACATTAGTTAACATGAACTAACAATGAGAAATACTTCTAAAGCATTTATTACTCTTAGTAAATGTTAATTTCAGCATTTACTAATACATTAATAAAATCAGAAGTTGTATCTGTTTATATTATGTAATGGATCTGAGCATGAACTAACAATGAGCTATTAACTAATGTTAACAAAGATGAATACTGTAACAAAAATATTGCTCACTGTTAGTTCATGTTACCTAATGGGACCTTATTGTAAAGTGTTACCATTAATATTAATTACTATTATTGTATTAATATTATTATAGTATTTTAAAGTTATATTTTAATATAAACAACATTTTTATTATTATTATTATTAATATTGGCATTTATATTAAAAATATAATATTAAAATACTATAAGATTAGTAATATTTGATACTTACATTAATGTTATTCTATTGTAATAATATAATAGTAAAATAATACTATTATTATTATTTATTATTATTTTATTATTGTTATAGTATTTTAGTGTTATATTTTAAATCAAAATATACTAATAACTTTTTACAATTTCCTAATGCAATTTATTAATATAATAATACCACACTATTAACAATAATTATAACAATCATAACAATAGTTAGTTTTTTTTTTATTTTTTAATTTATTTATTTTGTGAGAGCAACTGCTAGCTGATGAAATATTTTCGAGCTAAGCATAAAGAAAAACAGAAATTTCCAAGAATTACCCTGAATTAACCTATGCATTTTTAATACCGCAAATTTTGAAAACTCATTCAAAAACATTTCGTCTTACTTTGAGGATGAAGTCTGGCGGTGTCCCAGGCCGCACTGTAGGTCTGAGAACTCCATCGTGATGTGAGTGGATCAACGTCTCGTCGAGATCTAAAACTAAGATCTTTCGCTTCACGGTGTCTGAACAGAAATACAAACACAAACTCACGTTACTCAGTGAAAGTCAGCATATGAAAACACTGCACACTGCACACAACACTGCAAGCGGATTAATCAAACAGTATGAGTTTCTCAATGACAACTCACACTCAGATCGGGCTTTCTGTTGTCATACCAGTAACTTTTAACTTGAGGAGAAGAAAAGAAACACTCACTGAGTCTGTTTCTGGAAATGGGTGACAATGGTAAGATGTCATAGCGCACTGTTTGATACTGGATTATCTAGAACAGGAAGGAGACAAAACAGGAAATAGCCACCTCAGTAAACATGTATTATACAGCAGAAGACAATGAGTACACCTTTTACAGTTTATTTAGCATGCTATATTGGTTTTAATTAAACATTTTTACATTTGAACAAATTCATAACTTTTAAGAACCCACTCGTCTCTTAAGACAATTGAATAAAGGGCTTGTCTATTTCTGAAGCAGGCAGAACTCTAAATGATTCAGAATTTAGATGGAAAAAGACACACAGTAAATAAAAATAGTCCATAATTGACTTAGTTGAGGGATCAAACTATTATTCTTAGTATCAAAAAAAAAAACAGAAAGATAGATATTAAAATATATTTATTAATTTATATTATAAAAAATATATTTTAATAAATAATATTTTAGTAAAATAATATAAAATATCAGGATTCATGATAAGCATTAGCAAATCAATCAAACATTCAACCAAAATCAACAAATAATAATAATAATAATAATAACAACAACAAATATTTATTAATAATTAATATTTCCTATTGAAATTGAAATTAAACATTATTCACAAATATGTTTTAGTTAATATTTAATTTGCATCAATTATAAATATTATTATGTTTTTAATAAGTCATATTTTAATTAAATAAACTGATATATTGTCATTAGGGTGCTTCTGCTCTCCAGATATCAGGATTTGCATCAACCAAAAAACAAACAATAATAATAATAATAATAATAATAAAAAATACATATAAATAATATCTACAAATATTTATTCGTTTATAATTGTATTGGTTAAAAATTTCCATGGCTAATTTGTTATTTAAAAGTGTTCCAGCCCCTGAAACGGTTAATACCAGGTTTTCAGTAACTGTGGGATCCCTGAATTAATCAAAACGAATATAAGAGGTGTCCTGGAGTAGCAGATTACTCAAGGAAACAACCTTCGGCAATGATCTGTTTGTTTGGGTTTAATGCCAAGCCAGCTTCTGGATCAATTTTTGGTCAATCTTGGACATTTTTCTTGGCGAAAAAATGTATGGCTAAATTATATCAGATTTTTACCATTTATTTTCGCTAAAAACTGTATTTGGCTTAACTCTGTTAAAAATCTCTTCAAAAGAATTAACAGGAAAAAAAAAAAGTTTTCTCACAGGCTTAAAACCAGCACAATCTAACAAAACATGGGTTTTGGCAGAGAGAACATGTTGGAGGATCTTCTCCTAATATGAAAAACTTGAGCGTCATCCTGGAATTACCTTTTCTACAGCGGGCATAAACAATACCTTCTGCAATGAACCTGAGCTCAACTCTGATCGCATTCCCTTTAAGAGGTGCGAGACCCTCCGGCTCGGCCCACTGCTCACCACAATGTGGATACTCTTCCTCTCTTTCTCCAAATCCCTCTCTTCTGAGCTATCTTTAGCCCTGCCAGCTGTCTAAAAGTGTCAGTGGAACTTGGGACAGCACAGCCGAGTGAAACTGCCAAGGTGACTTTGAAAAGGGGGCTGTTTATTCCCAACCCGATTTAGGCCTCAATAAGGACTCATTCATAATGTCGGGTCAAGCTGAACCGACCCGATGCCTGCGTGACTGTAAAGTAGGGCTGTGTGATATTGAAGAAAAATGCGATATGCGATACCTTGTTAAAAAATGCGATATTCGATATGCGATACGATATTGCTTAAAGTGTGTAAAATCAATTTCAATTATACTTTAAAATATTTAAAAATGAAAATTATATAACCAATTAGTTTCACATTCTTTCTTGGAAAAGAAAGAATCACTACAACTTGCATTTGCGATATTTCGATATATCGTGCAGCCCTACTGTAAAGCATGTCTAGTGAAGTGTCTGCTACTCCAGCACCCATATCAGAGTCACAGACAAGTAATGCCTCTATAATTGTGTCTTAATGATCATCTTAAAGATTATTATACAACTGGCTTGCCAAAGCCTGCAGTGCACAGTGGGATTACAGCCTGCTTTCCAAACCCAAGTGTTTACATACTCTGAGCTACAGCATGTGATTCGGTTATCAGCTCATTCTTAAAAACAATGACCTATTTAATATTGTAATTATATTATTTAGTAATAAATGATAAATATATTTATAATATTATTTTATTTAAAATGCCAAGACCTTTTAAACTTATCTTACCCCGATCTTTATTGCTTTAGGCTTACAGTAAAATGTCAAATAATAATACAATATAATAGATCTTCTAGTTTTAGTAATTTTAGTACTTCAACATAAGACTTATTTTATTTCAGTTAGCTGCCAATAAGCCAACATTTCTAACTATCGTTTTATTTTCATCTAATATTTCTAATTATTTAAAATTTATTTCAATTAATGAAAATTATATTTTTATTTTCTTTTTTTTTTATAAAAATTATTTTCAATAGTTTTATTTTTGTAAATTATATAATGGTCGTAAATAAACTTATTCATATACTAAAAATAATGTGGATTTTGCTCCACAGTAAAAATCTGTATGTATTTTTTTAGCCAAGCCATATTTTACACTAATGGCACACAGTAAAGTGTCACATTAACTAATGTTAGGAGTTGACAAACCTGCTGTCATTAGTTTTTAATTTTAGTTTTTACTTCAACTTATGCCGAGTTCACACTGAACGATTTTAGCCCGATTTTTCACTCGCCGACAAATGCCCGAAATCGGAGGCAAATCGGTGCTCGTTCACGCGAGTGACAATCACGCAGTGTGAATTATCAAAGACGCGATCTGAGGGAATCGCCGACGCCCGTGAAATATTTGGCATGCTAAATATCTGGAGCTGTCGGCAATTCACAATCACGCTGTGTGCAATGAGTTCTGACTGAAAAACACATCGGCGATGACCTACAGCCAATGAGAGACCAAGATACAGGGCAGCGGGAAGTTCGGGGAGGAGTTATATGAAACGTAGTTTGCGGACCAGTGTTGCCAAATCCGCGATTGCCGCCGGTTGTTTTTTATGTCAGCAGGTTGAAGCGACCCCAATAATGTGATATTTAGGCCCTGGAATGTGAATTGTACCTGGAGAACCCCGCCAAAAACATGTGTATTTTACCCCCCGAACGCGGGGTATTTATTTTTACTGGGGGACCCCCTCGACAGCAATTGGGCTATTTTCAGGCTAGTTTTGAGTAGTAATTGGGCGGGTTTTGTAGCGAAAACCTGGCAACCCTGGACTTATTTTATTTTATTATTTTATAACATTATTGTTTTATTTTCATCTAATATTTCTAATTTATTTAAAATGTATTTCAATTAACGAAAATTATATATATTTTTTTTTATAAAATTATTTTTAATAGTTTTATTTTTGGTAAATCATATACTGGTCGTAAATAAACGTATTTAATATAGTAAAAAAAAAAAAAA